AACAAAAATATGGCCGGGTGTTGTGGTAGGCCCCTGTAGTCCCAGCTACTTGGGAGGCTGAGGCAAGAGAATTACTTTGAGCCCAGGAGTTTGAGGTTCCTGTGAGCTGTGATGCAATGGCACTCTACCAAGGGTGACATGGTGAGACTGTCTCAAAAAAAAAAAAAAAAAAAAATCTTGGAAAACAAATCCTTATCCATATCTAAGACAGACAGATAACTAGAAGTAGAATAGATGACTTGAACTTTGTTAACAGATTCTGCCATATTGCCTACCAAAACATTATACACTATACTCTCACCAGTAATTCATTAAAGTACTACATTCTCTTATACCTTAGTCCACTCTTAATAATGTAATCATTTTTCTCTTTTGACACTCAAATTAGAGAAAAATTAATCTTACTCTAATAGTTTTTCACATGCTTTTGGTCATTGTACTTCTGATTGCTTTATTTATCTCATTGGCCCATTTTTTTTAATGGGTTCCTTATATTCTTAATGAGTTATAGAAGCCCTTTATTATCCAGTTAGTCCTTTGTAATATATGTTGCAAGTACTGGTTTTTGTCTGTCTTTTTGCTGTTATGGAGGTTTTTAACATTATGATTTGAAATAAGTTTTTTTTTTTTAAGGTTTCTGGATTTTGTGTCATATTAGAAAGACCACCTTATGGAGGAATAAAAACTTAAACTTTGGTGGTGCCCGTAGTCCAGCTAAAACAACAATGACAATTAAACAACAAAAATAGCCTGGTGTTGTGGTGGGTGCCTGTAGCCTGGTGTTGTGATGGGTGCCTATAGTCCTGTTGTGGTGGGTGCCTCACCCTTGGGAGGCTGAGGCCAGAGAAGAGTTTGAGATTACTGTGAGCTGTGATGCCACAGTACTCTGCCAAGGGCGATATAATAAGACCCTGTCTCAAAATAAATAAATAAATAAATAAATAAACAAACAACAAACCAACCAAACAAAAAAACTTAAACTTTTTCTCAGGCACTCAAACAGTTAGTGTCAGATAAAGAGCTAAAATCCAGGTTTTTTCTTTAGTTTATAATATCTTCTGCACCAGACTTTATAGGGCATAGTAAAAAATTGCCTTATTTGTGAAATTGTGCTGCTAATCCTATTATTACAGGCAGGAAAAATATATAAAGCTTTTTTTTAATTGTGATCATCATCTTTCCCATCCTGACATTTTTCAGGGAGTCTTTTTATTATAGAGTAATTTATATTTCTAAAATTATGCCATTCTGCTTTCAGTCCTAAAAATTTGTATGCTTTTAAACTAACAGCAGCAGCCGCTCTTCTAAAACATTCAAACCAAAGAAGAACATCCCTGAAGGATCTCATCAGTATGAACTCTTAAAACATGCAGAAGCAACTCTAGGAAGTGGGAATCTAAGACAAGCTGTTATGTTGCCAGAAGGAGAGGACCTCAATGAATGGATTGCTGTGAACAGTAAGTTTTTAGTAACATTTAACTTTGCTGGTTTATAGAATTTAATGAATTTCCTTTTACAGAAATAACTTGTAATAGAACAGATTATTGTATCAGTAAGAAAACACATAAGTATAAATATGGTACATTGTAAACTCTGTTTTCTTCAGAGTACTTGTTGAATACAGAAACTTGAAGAGCAATGATGAGTTATTTTATGAGGAGCTGAGTAAGATCAAATAAAAGATTGATAAGTGCAAAGATTTTACCTGTGATGGGCCATGACTTTGTAGAGACTCCATTTGCACAGTTTTGCTCCTGCCCCTGGTAGCACTTATAAGCCTGCATATACAGAAAGTCAGTTGCAGTTCATGTGGCCGGCCATTCAGTTGATTGTTGTAACTTTGGTGTAATCAGAAGAAAATTGAGAGATTGGGAGAAAATGTAGGGATCTATGAGCTAAAAGTTACTGAATTCAAAAGAATGAGGGCATAACATGGAATGATATGCTGACTCTAGAAGTTTGAATATGAGAGTCTCTTATTTCTGAGGTGCCATCAGTTCTGGGTGACATAGGAAGGAATTTCAGATGTTACAAGAATTTAAAAAACTTTTTAATGGAAATTTTCAAACATACAGAAGTAGAGAAACTAGTATAGTAAATTCCTAGGTATCCATTATACGCCTTCAACAGATAAGCAATTTGCGACTCACTGTGATGCTTCTGTATTCCACCCTGATTTTTTTTTTTTTTTATTTTGGACTATTAAGTGGTACATGTTTTGTTTACATGCTTTGCTTTTGTATGGACTGAATCAAAGCTATACACATAAATGTGCCCTTCACCCAGATAGTGTGCACTATACCCGATGGCTATGAATTTACCCATTTGTTTCTTCTTCCCATCACCCTGATTATTTTAAAGTAAATCCTAGATATATTATTTTATCTGTAAATATGTCAATATGTATCTCTTAGAGCTACTTTTAAAGATAATAACAGTACCATCATCCTTTAATCTTACCAAATATCTAGTGTTTATTCACATTTTCCTTGAACTACAAATGAAATGTTTCTTTTTATTTATTAAATTTATACTTGGTTTAGATCAGGATCCAACAAGGCCTGTGTGCATGTTTCTTGAATTTCTTAATCCAAAGTTTTCTCTTATTACAGTCTTTCTTCCTTGGAATATTTTTGTCAAACAAAACAGGTTGTTTCCCCCATGTGAATTTTGGTGATTGTATCTCCAATGTGTCCATTATCATGTTCTTGTTCCTCTTTTTATTTTCCGTAAACATTAGATCTAAAGCAGCACTGTCCAGTAGAACTTTGCAATGCTGAAAATGTTCTGTACCTTCACTTTGTCCATGTAGTACTTGAAATGTGGTTAGTGGCTACCACATTAATGCAGAGCCTTGATTAAGTTCAGGTTTGAGGCCAGGTGTGGTGGCTCAGACCTGTAATCCCAGCACTTTGGGAAGCTTAAGTGGAAGAATTGTTTGAGCCCAGGAGTTGGAGACCAGCCTGAGCAACCTAGTAAGACCCTGTCTCTACAATTGAAAAAAAAAAAAATTAGCAGGGCAAAGTGGTATATTCCTGTAGTTTCAGTTACTTGGAAGGCTGAGTCAGTAAGATTGTTTGAGCCCAGAAGTTTGAGGTTGCCAGTAACAGGGTAAGACCTTATCTCAAAAAATAAAAAAACCCACACAAACAAATTCAGGTTTGATTTTTGATTTTGTCTGTTAGACTATTTATTACATAGTATTTCCAGTGTCTAGTTGGGATTTTTTTCTTTTTTTAATCACTCAAAGTCCAAAGTTTACAAGCTAGTAAACTAGGGGTTTACTCTTAGTATTGTATATTCTATGGGGTTTAGATAGATTTATAAAATGACTTGTATTCACCATTGCAGTATCATTATAAAGTAGTTTTACTGCCTAAAAATCCTCTGTGCTCTGCTGTTTATTCCTTCCTCCCCTTTAACGTCTGGCAACACCCATATCGTTTTAACCATTTCTATAGTTTTGCCTTTTCCGGAATGTTATATAGTTGGAATTATATAGTATATAATCTTTTTAGACTAGGTTCTGTTACTTAATAATATACATTTAAGTTTCCTCCATGTCTTTTCATGGCTTGATAGTTCATTTCATTTTAGCCCTGAATATTCCATTTTCTGGATATATTACAGTTTAGTCATTTATTTACCTCCTAAGAGACATCTTGGTTGCTTCCAAGTTCTGGCAATTATGAATAAAGCTTCTATAAACAAACATGTGCGGGTTTTCTGTAGGCATACATTTTCAACTCTTTTGGGTAAATTCCAAGAGCACAATTGCCAGGTAGTATGGTAAGAGTGGTAAGAATATGGTAAGAAACCACCAAACTTTTCCAGAGTGACTGTATCATTTTGCAGTCTTACAGACAATGAGTAACACTTCTTACTGTTCCACATTCTATCCAGTTGTCAGTGTTCTGGATTTTGGCCATTGTAATAAGTGTGTAGTGGTATCTCACTATTTTAATTTCCATTTCCCTGATGACCTAAGATTGGAACATCTTTTCATACGTTTATTTGCCCATCTTTATATCTTAAGTGAGGTGTCTGTGTACTTTTTTTTAAATTGAGGTTTTTTTAATTGTTGATTTCTAAGAGTTCTTTGTATATTTTGGATAAGTCTTTTATCAGATATATCTTTTGCATATATTTTCTCCCAGCCTATGGCTTGTCTTTTTATTCTCTTTTTTAAATTCTTTTTTTTGTTGTTTGTTTTAAGAAGGGGGTCACTCTGTGTTGCCCAGACTGACTGAATTTTTGGGCTCAAGTGATCCTCCTGCATCATGTTCTCCTACCACTGTACCTAGCAACCAGTGACTTTTTTATTTTTTTTTCCTTCAGAGACAAGATCTTACTCTGTCACCCAGCACCCAGGATGGAATTCAATGGCTCATAGTCACTACAGCCTCCCAACTCTTGGGCTGAAGTGATCCTCCCACTTCAGCTTTCTAAGTAGCTGGAACTGTAGGCCCTTGCCACAATGCCTGCTAAGTTTATATATATATTATTACATAAACTCTATTATAAATAGAGTCTCCCATCTCCCTATGTTACCTAGACTGGTCTCAAACTCCTAGTCTCAAGTGATCTTGTCTAAGCGCCCTGAGTAGCTGAAATTACAGACACTATCCAGTGTGTCTGGCTTTTTTATTCTCTTGACTGTGTCTTCTGCAGAGCAGAATTTTTTAATTTTAATGAAGTATAGCTTATCAATTTTTCTTTGATGGAATTATGGCTTTGGTGTTTTTTCTAAAAAGTCATTGCAGAGGCCTAGTGCAGTGGTTGTGCCTGTAATCCCAGCACTCTGGGAGGCTGAGGCAAGTGGATCGCCTGAGCTCAGGAGTTCAAGAGCAACCTGAGCAAGAGAGAGACTTTATTTCTAAAAATAGTTGGGTGTTGTGGTAGGAGCCTATAGTCTCAGCTACTTGGGAGGCTGAGACAAGAAGACAACTTAAGCCCAGGCGTTTGAGGTTGCTGTGAGCTTTGACGCCATGGTACTCTACCAAGGGTGACAAAGTGAGACTGTCTCAAAAATACACATAAATAAAATATAAATAAATAAAAAAAAAGTCATTGTCAAACCCAAGGTCATCTGCATTTTTTTCTATGTTTTTCTTGTGTCTTCTAAGGGTTTTATACTTATGTGTTTTACGTTTAGGTCTGCGATCCATTTTGAGTTCATTTTTGTGAAGGGTACAAGCACGTGTCTAGATCCCTTTTTTACATGTGGATGTCCAGTTATTTCAGCACCGTTTGTTGAAGAGATTGTCTTTGCACCATTATATTGCCCTTGCTCCTTTGTCAGAGATCAGTTGACTATATTTATATGTGGGTCTTTTTCTGGTCTCTCTTTTCCATTTCATTGATCTCTGACTTTTTTCACAGGTACAAAATTGTTTTGATTACTGGAGCTTTACAGTAAGTCTTAAAGTAGTGTAGTGTCAGTCTTGCCAACTTTGTTCTTCAGTATTGTGTTGGCTACTCTGGGTCTTTTGTTTCTCCATATAAATTCTGGAACCAGTTTGTTGATAACCATGATAAGCTACTGCGATTTTGATTGGGTCTAGTTGTCTTTTCATGTGGTATTAACCAGCTTTTAATAACCATTGCCTTGATCAGTACTGAAATGTCCCACAGAAATATAATATGAGCTACATACGTAGTTTTAAGTTTTCGAGTAGCCACATTAAAAAAATTAGAGATAAGAATCTTTCTTAACTCGGGTAGTGCCTGTGGCTCAAAGGAGTAGGGCGCCAGCCCCATATGCCGAAGGTGGCGGGTTCAAACCCAGCCCCAGCCAAAAAAGTAAAACTGCAGAAAGAATCTTTCTTAACTTATTAAAAAGCCATGCTCTTATAGCTATGACAAAAAAAAAAAAAGGTGCAGGACTATGTAGTATATTATCTTTTGTATAAGAAAGTGTAAAGAAATTTAGCAAGTGTGAAACAAATTAATAAAATGGTTACCTATGTGTAAGGGAGTTGAGTTGGGGTGTTTGGAAGTTAGATTTTTCACTATGTTTTTATTTATTGTATTTTAACTATGTGAATTAGTCGGGGGAAAAAAACCCTTTTTTTCTTAATTTGATTCAGATTATCTGTTATCCTGAAGCTATATGTTGATCTTCTTTATCTTTAGATTTTTCTGGCTCAGCCCCTGTGGCTCAAGTGGCTAAAGCGCCAGCCACATACACCTAAGGTGGCGGGTTCGAATCCAGCCCAGGCCCGCCAAAAACAACAATGATGGCTACAACCAAGAAATAGCCGGGCGTTGTGGCGGGCGCCTGTGGTCCCAGCTACTTGGGAAGCTGAGGCAGGAGACTCGCTTGAGCCCAGGAGTTGGAGGTTGCTATGAGCTGTGATGTCACAGCACTCTACCCAGGGGGGTAGCTT